TTCACAGGATAGGCTAGTTCTTTAGGATCAATAACTAACTCTTTTACCTCTAGACTGGGACAGGATTCTTTATAAACACTCATTACCTCTCCTATCACATCTCTTCTTAGAGACACCATATTGTCACTGTAACCTTTCTCACAGGACATCATTACTAGTACACACTGGCTCTCATCCACAATCTCTACCAGTGATCCTACACCATGACCATTAGACCAATAAAGTCCATTCTTCCAAAATGTACAACGTCGCTTTAACTTGTCATCTTCTTGAGGTAGAGCCATTTTATAAGCAAGACGTAATGAGAGGACATGGAAGTATCGAGGAGGAAAGAAATGATGTTTACTAGTACACTGTAGACACCAACCAAACTGGTACACTTCACTAGTCATCTCATCAGGTCTATCGGTAGACAAAAGACATGGAAAGTGCAACAACCTTTCTCCTCTTCTTTCTCTCCCTCCCTCCTCCTCCTCTTCCACTGCTAACTGATGGAGGTTTGTCATTCTTAGGAAAGATGGATTAATTTCTTGACAGAGTTCCATGTTCTTTAGAAAACAAATCAACATGTCAGGATCATATTTAGGGAAGAGTCTAGTCAGACCAGACACACTAACAATACCAGTATTGCTAGCAATGTCAACATGTTCTTTAAATGTCTCTGGAGCAAAGAGAATCCCATCCACCTCAGTTAGTAGTATACCCTTATTCACAACAACCCATACCTTGTCTTCACTTTTAAGAACACTGATCAAACCAGTTGAGTGCAACGAATGAAGAACATCCAAGACGTCTTCTCTCTTATCTGGTATAAAGTAATCATCATTGTACTTACCAGCAGACATTACATCAGAGAGGGTCAGTATATTCTCTTTCCTTTCCTCCAGTAGACCATACATCATGTGACAATAAAGACTCAAATTCCTTCCACTTGTACTACGAATGGACTCACAGGCACTAGACAACTTATCAAAGAAGGAATTCACACCACTCCCACCAAGCTTACGACAATCTAAGAAGACACTATCACACCTTTCCCTTACAATAACCTCCTGTATTTCTTCCTTTCTCCTTCTCCTTTCAAAAGGATTAAATATCTCATCCACATGACTGACTATTACAATAACATGGCATTGATTAAGAGCTTTGTGTGCTTCATTTGTGACAACTGTTAGCCACTGATGAAGCTGTTTGACTGGTTCCTTCTCCAATATATTGACTACTATGAGGAACACACCACCAGAACCTTGTAAGAGATTCTCAATGACAGCACTGTGACTGGAGTAGTATTCAGAATGACCAGCAAAATCATGAAGAATGATGTTACCCAGTTCCCTATGTTGTAGTTTATAAGGAATGATGCCAGCAGTACAGGGCACTACCCCTCCAACATTTCTAAAGGAACCAAGAGCAATAGAACCAGTAGCTGTGTCATTGATGACATGACTAAGAGTACTTTTACCAACTCCAGGATTACCCACAAGGAGGACATTAACATAAGAATCAATTGGATGAGATGATTTTATACCACCAAACTTCTTCAAGACAGAAAGAGTATCAGTGCGACCATACTTCTTAGCTAGTTTAAATGGTGTTCTCCCCACCTTGTCTTTAGCTAATGGATCACATTTACCAGTTGATAGTAAATATTCAACAGCTGCAGAATTACCCCAATGAGCAACAGCACGGTGAAGAGGTGTCCGCCCCCACCTGTCAACAGCCATTGGATCACAGTGACACTCATTAATGAGATACTTTACAATATCAATGTGTTCAGCAGCACAGTGAAGAACAGTCTGACCACTATTGTCAGTAGCCATTGGATCACAGTGACACTCATTAATGAGATACTTTACAATATCAATGTGTCCAGCAGCAAGATGAAGAACAGTCTCACCACTATTGGTAGCAGCCATTTGATCACAGTGACACTCATTAATGAGATACTTTACAATATCAGTGTGTCCAGCAGCACGGTGAAGAACAGTCTCACCACTATTGGTAGTAGCCATTGGATCACAGTGACACTCATTAATGAGATACTTTACAATATCAATGTGTTCAGCAGCACAGTGAAGAACAGTCTGACCACTATTGTCAGTAGCCATTGGATCACAGTGACACTCATTAATGAGATACTTTACAATATCAATGTGTTCAGCAGCAAGATGAAGAACAGTCTCACTACTATTGGTAGCAGCCATTGGATCACAGTGACACTCATTAATGAGATACTTTACAATATCAATGTGTCTAGCAGCATGATGAAGAACAGTCTCACCCCATTTGTTCGTAGCCATTGGATCACAGTGATGATGATTGATCAAGTACTTCATGAAATCAAGTGATCCATGTTCAGCTACTCTGTGAAGAACAGTATATCCATACTTATCAGGAATCTTTGGATCACAGTGACACTCATCAATGAGATATCTCATCACATCAACATGATTACCTTCTGCAGCATAATGAAGACAAGTACAACCCAGATCACCTCTTTCGTGTGGGTCACAGTGATATTTAGTGATGAGATCTTTTGTAACATCTAACCAGCCATTCCATGAAGACAAATGAAGTAAACTAGTATCATCCCATATTATATTATTTATTCTTTTAATTTTATTCGGTTCCTTCACTAATGGTAGTAAGCGAACAGCTTCTTCATGATCTCTTTTCTTAAACGCATCCCAACACTTGTTCTCTAAGGACATCTTGTGATCAGTTAATTAGATTCATTGATACCCGCCCACACATCAGGGATTCATAGTACAATAATACACACATTATGAATATCATTAACTGAGCTATGAGAAAGAGGGAAAGTATAAAATATTTAAACACATATACATGTACATGTACATACACAAAATACTTATAGCTCCAAATTTTTGTCAGTCAAAAAAATTTTGTCAAAATCTTGATTTCTTGTTAAAATTAATTTTCTTCAATAAAATTTTAATTGTGTTTATTATAAATTTTCATACCAAATTACTAACCACATGAAGCAAAAATTTTGTTGATTAAGAATTTCATCGAGCAAAGATTCTTGATGGATTTGATGAAATTTTTGACTGAAAAACTTTGGAGCTATACGTTAGTATTATTACCCTTGTGAAAAATCCCAGCAAGATTCTTGTTAAGTTTCTTTAAAATTCTTAACAATATTCTTGCTAATATTTCACAAGATTTTACCTGATTTTGAAACAAGGATTATGTAAGATAGTGTTAGATCTTGCCATCAAAATGTAAGCAAGATCTTACAGGATCTTTCTCAAAATCTTAACCAAATTCTTAGAAGATCACAGCAAGATCTTACCTTAAGATCACAGCAAGATCTTACCTGATTTTGAAACAAAGAACATGAAAGATATCATGGGATCTTGCTTTATT